CACCAAAGCAGCAAATTATCAAACTCTAATTGCTTCACAAGTTAAAGAAATCAAACAATTACAGATTTGATATTTAATTTAGTAGTAGATTGTAATAAATAACAAACTAGTAGGTTTCCTAACAATTAAACATAGCAATCATGGAAATAAGTGTGAAAGAATATTCAATACTCAAAAACATGAATTAAACTAAAAAAAACCATTTAGATCTTACAATATGTGGTTCCGAAACTTCAATCTCCTTCAGACAATTGTAAACGTTTAGTTACAATTCATGAATCTATGAGCAAAATAATGAAGAATGAAGTTTGGAGGCGTTCTCCCCGTTCTAAGGTTGCCAATCACGTATTTATTATTGCTTCTATAGGTAGTTGACTTAAATTTGAAAACCAGAATTTTCGTATCGAGAAACACCTATGTGACTGCATAGTAGTAAGTCATGCGATTGCATATACGTTGAAATTGGGCTCTAAAAATCTCTGAAGGTGCTCATGCGACCACAAGGAAGATTACACTATGCGATCGCATAGTTTTGCCAATTTTCCACCGGACAACTTTTAATATTTTGGTCATATCTTTCTCTCTCGATATTCGATTGATGCGATTCAAGATGCGTTGGAAATCTAACTCAAATGGATACAAATATTCCAAAATATAATTTTTACAATTAGAATGTTTCCTATGCCAAAAATGGGTCTCAAACTGAGACTGAAAATCCAAAACATAACATTTTCAGCTAGAAGCTGATATGTGATAATACTTTGATTGTATTTCATCCATTTGACTTCTTTCTTCATCTGATTGACCTCTAATACTTTCAAATCTTCATCGTGATGTTCTACATAACTTTTGAGTATTTACATTTCAGTCCCTAAATTTCGTTTTCTTTCATTTTGGTTCTTATTCGCTTATTTCTTCCAAATTACGCCATATGCATAGAATTGCCACCTAAATCAAAATATGAATATAATGAGTACATTTTGACATTGATTAATCATACGAACAAATAAAATAAGGAGAGAAAAATATGCATTTTACATTCCTATCAATAACCTACCCCTAAATTCGAAAAATCTCTAAAATAATCAATTATCTTTTGAAGAGAATAGTCCAGCTTCATCCCTAAATTCTTGGCATGCAATGCCAAATGTGCTGGCGATCTGCCCAGTGCAGGCAATGGGCCATTTCTTTCCTTAATTGTACAATCTCCTACTCTCGAACAATCTCAATAGTTCAAGCTTTTATCGATCCGCATTATCGCTCCCTCTACTCCCACCCCCTTCGTTGACGAGGCATGAATCTTCTTTATCCTTTTTCTCAATCTTTTGCCAAATAGATTTTGCACTCATCATATGATGACGATGAGCATGATTAGATCACATAAAGTGTAGTATCTTAGTATTATTGTCACGTATAAAATGTAGTAACTTATTATCATTTTCACGTGTAGTCCTTTCCATAGGACAAGACAACTTTATTTTCCTTGTCTTTCATTAGCTAGAGAGTCACGCTAAGCTCCTCCCTAACTCGTACGTTATTTACGCCATATCTCTATCAGGTTAGTATAGAATTAGCATCCCTTTCTTTACATCAAAATATAGTAAAGACAACAAAATGCAGCCTTTTGTTACTAGTGCTATGTCATCATATAAAAATATATATTAAAGTAGCGATCTTTAAAGTTATATCATCCTTATATAAATTATTTGCATAAATTAATAAATGTCATGTACTTCATCTTTAAAGACCTTAAAGAAAAAATAGATAAATGTAATTTTTTATTTTGATAAAGACGACTATTTCTAACAATTTCTCCCTCCTCCAATATTGAAATATGTCATACTAAATTGTTGTAGACGCCATAAAACCTTATAAATAGAAAACATATTTATATTTATATTAATCAGGAGTCCGTGGTTGACAATTAATATATAAATACTGCATATTTCCGGGTTTTTAAATTAATTTACTTTTTAAATGCCCGACTTAATAAAATATTAATTGACTTGATGTTATTAATTTTATTTTTTAGAATAAATTTTAAGAAAAATGATATTTTTAAGAATGCATAGGTAAAAATAATGAAAAAAAAATTATGAATTTAAAATAATGCGTGATATTTTTTGTATTCTCTGCAATATGCCATTTTCTATTTTCTAGGGGCAGGTGCTAGAATTTAAAATTTTATGAATCTTGATTTTAAAAATCAAAAAGCTTTATTGCCAAGATCCTTAATGTCAAATCATCAATTTCTTCTTGGTGAGTGGTGGAGGTAAGGTGTTTGGGGAAGAAGAGTCAATTTTCTGATTTTCGAGGCGGGGTTGGAGAAGATGATGAAATTATTTTTTGTTTTTTTTTTTGATTTTTAATTATTTGTTTAGGATTCATTTGTAATTTTTTGAAAATTTTGGGTCTTTTATTTCATTTTATTCTTTTCATTTTTTATTATTTAAATAAGAGGGAATATTTGTCATTTCATGGATTTTTATTAAGAAATTGAATAAAAATTGATAAAAATAACGTTTTTCATAATAAAACGTGTAAATAGGGGTGAAAATATAAAAAATTAAAACGTATAGACGTTTTGTGCTAATAAGTCCATAAATAAATATTCAACTAACCAAAACTTGACGCAACCCCAAATATTCTTATAATAATTAATTACTAAATTTTTGCTTGCTTCGGGTAATTGACTTTCGTGCTCTATTAATTTATTTATTATTTCTCATGCTACACACCAAAACGAGAGGATAACGTTACCTGTCTCAGTTTTTCAATTCCTGTCCTGATCTCCTCTATGACCTTATCATTTCGAACATAACTTCTTAATTTTTCCAAAAAAGTCGGAACAAAATTACGCATTAATTTAGCCTATCGTCAAGAACCATCTGGACTGAGGTTGCAACCCTTGACTATATTATAGCATTTATCTGTCCTTCGTGACGTGGCGTGGTGTTTTAATTATTGAATTAATGAAGGTTCAAGTTATAATCCAAGCTTTCATTGGCCCCGTTATTAACAAATTTGACATGGACTGGCTATATAAATTAATAACGGCTTAATTGTATTGCTTTTCATGAATTACTATTAAATTCACAACTTGAAGCTGGAGAAGTTGACTAGAACACGCCCAATAATGTGATAAAATATTTAATTTCCAATTCCCTTCCCCTCAATAAATATTTATTCAACAATATGTGACGATATGTGATTGATCAATTAAGCTAAAACAAGAACCAATTTTTTTAATAAACAAAAAGCAGATCTGTAGTTGGCCGGAAATAATATGAATTCACCCCTGCTTCTAAAAAGCATAAAGTGTGACGAAGTGTGGAGGTCGAGCTTCGACCTCAATAATTTTAGACGAAGTCTAGACGTTAAAAAGCGTAAAAAAGTGTTCTTATTTTAATATTATTTAAAAATTTTAATCAATTTAAAAATTATTTAATATTTAAAAGAGAAAAAGCGTAAAAAAAAAAAACCCCCTTGAAAGGCGTAGAAAAGCATAAAAAGCCGCACGCTAGGCGTAAAAAAAAATTACAAAAATAAAAAAGCACAAAAAAACACGAAGCGCGGTGTTATGCTTCTCTAGACACCACTTTTTAGAATACTGACCGACTATTTAATGATAAAAAAGATAAATATTGATTATTATATTATTTACACTACGTTTGATACTCATTCTTCAAAAATAAATTTTTCTCTCTTATTTTAAATCACAAATTCTTCAATATTACACGCAAAATCAAAAAAAAAAAATTCTTATTTTTTAACCACATATTTCCATCAAAACACTATTTAAAATACGAGTTTTACTACACGAACATAATGATTGACGTAGGGGATGACACAACACACACACATGGAGTGGTCGGCATTATTTAATTCAGGTCGGACCTACATATAATGTGAGTGGTCGATCAACCTTTATGTCAAACATTATGTTTATTTAACTTAATTCTTAAAATACATTCTTGGGAGATAATGTGGCTAGGTGTTAATATTCATGGTTGTTCTATAAATACGTATGCATCTGCATAGGGTATGGAACTCTACCAGTCGATAATCAAAGACTTCAATAACCATGAAGCTTCATGCTGTAGTAATTCCATACCCTGCACAAGGCCACATAGGCCCAGTTCTAAAATTGGCCAAACTCCTTCACTACAAGGGATTCTTCATCACTTTTGTCAACACAGAGTACAACCACAATCGCCTCGTTCGATCCCGGGGACCGGATTCCGTTAAGGGCCTAGAGAATTTCCAGTTCAAAACCATACCTGATGGTCTCCCTTCCTCAGAGAAAGATGCTACACAAGATATACCTGCACTTTGCGATTCTGTTCAGAAAAATTGTTTGCCTTTCTTTTTGGACCTCATCAACAACCTTAATGAATCGCCCGATTCTCCAAATGTTAATTGCATAGTTTCTGATGCGGTCATGAGTTTTACTTTGGATGCTGCTGAACAACTCAATATTCCTGAAGTCGTGTTTTACACTACAAGTGCTTGTGGCTTCATGGCATATTGTCACTATGCCGAACTTGTAACAAGAGGGTACTTTCCACTTAAAGGTATAGATATCTATATTATATCGAGATCTGTACTATTTTAGGGTATGTTTAGTATGTAGTATTTTACAGTATTGAGTCTTGCAAGGCTAATTTGAAGTTTGATTTGCAGATGAGAGCTGCATAACCAATGGCTATCTTGATACAAAGCTCGATTGGGTTTCGGGGATGAGAGATATTCGACTAAGAGACTTTCCAAGTTTCATTCGAACAACTGATCCAAAAGATATTATGGTCAACTACAACATTCTGCAAACCAAGAATGCATCGAGGGCCAAGGCCGTGATAATTAATACTTATGATGACTTGGAGAAAGAAGTTCTTGAGGCCATTCGAGAAAAATTTGAACGTGTTTGCACCATTGGTCCACTTCAATTGCTCGAGCAAGAAATAAACAATACTAAACTCAAATCCATTGGCTCGAGCCTGTGGAAAGAAGACGAATCCTGCATCGAGTGGCTTGATCAAAAACAACCAAATTCTGTTCTTTATGTTAACTTTGGCAGCATTACTGTTTTATCAGCCAAACAGCTGCTGGAATTTGCATGGGGACTTGCCAATAGCAATCAGCACTTTTTATGGATCATTAGGCCGGATTTGGTAAGTGGCGAAAGAGCAATTTTGCCAGAAGAGTACTCGAGAGAAGTCGAAGGAAGAGCCCTCATGGTGGAGTGGTGTAATCAAGAACAGAGGCCATTCGAGAAAAATTTGAACATGTTTGCACCATTGGTCCACTTCAATTGCTCGAGCAAGAAATAAAGAATACTAAACTCAAATCCATTGGCTCGAGCCTGTGGAAAGAAGACGAATCCTGCATCGAGTGGCTTGATCAAAAACCACCAAATTCTGTTCTTTATGTTAACTTTGGCAGCATTACTGTTTTATCAGCCGAGCAGCTGCTGGAATTTGCATGGGGACTTGCCAACAGCAATCAGCACTTTTTATGGATCATTAGGCCGGATTTGGTAAGTGGCGAACGGGCAATTTTGCCAGAAGAGTACTCGAGAGAAGTCGAAGGAAGAGCCCTCTTGGTGGAGTGGTGTAATCAAGAACAAGTTTTGGCCCGTCCTTCCGTTGGAGGGTTCTTGACACATTCTGGATGGAATTCAACTATAGAGTGCATATCGGAAGGGGTGCCGATGATTTGCTGGCCATTTTTCGCTGAACAACAAACGAATTGTCGATATGCATGCACCGAGTGGGAGATCGGGTTAGAAATCGAGGGAGACGTGACGAGAGAAAAAGTGGCAAAATTGGTGAAAGTTTTGATGGAGGGAGAGAAAGGAAAGGAAATGGGGAAAAAGGCCTTGGAATGGAAAGAGAAGGCTCGATTGGCAGTTAAGCCTGGTGGCTCTTCTTACCAGAATTTGGAGTATTTGATTAATGAGATTCTTCTTAAGAATTAGTTGTTTGATTTCATGTTTTTTATGTATTCATGTACACCATGTTTCCAACTTTTGTATCCAACAAGTACTACTTTCTGTACCCAAGGCATGATCTCTTTTCCAGTTAATGTTTTATTTTTTGGAAATTGTAACTCAAGTCACACGTTGGGTAAGATAAAATTAGACATAGATAGATGTAATAATAGCTAGATTAAACATTATTTTTATTTCTCATTCATTTANACCATAGGCTCATCACTTTTACTTATTGGACAGTTATCTGTTATTTGATAATTGCACTTAGTCGACAGTCGTCACATTTTTTTCCCCGGAAATGACGTATTTATATAAATTCACCTTATTCGCAGTATTTTAATGACTTGTTGCGATCAAAATATAAATTATTGTTAGGCAAATTTCTGTCAAACGATTTTCCGGACTATGATGTTAACTCATGATTTATTCAGTCGGCACTAACCAATGACTGAAGTGAAATATCGACACCACAAATATAACGACCTACACCTACAACCTATTTGGGCCATTTGAAGTATCCTAATTTAATTAGAGCTACTCATCGCTCAACACTTTATTCCTTGGATGACTTTTGGTATTTGGCCTACTTATTAGTTACCTATTATTTTGGGCCCAATCACTATTTACCCTAAAAAGCCTACCTATACTATATATTGGCTCTTTCCATTGTTTTGTGTTTCTACAATGTTATTGCTAAGCCTCCCTTTCTTGAGAGATATTGGCTGCATCTTTTGCTTTCTGCTCTTCTTTGTAGTGTGTTCTCGTCTCTCGTTTCTCTTAACCTTTGTAACTATTGTGTGGCTGCAATAACCCCTTACCTGTGTCCTTTGTGAGCAAGCCAAATAGCAACCAATTTTGGGTGTGGGTTGTAGTTCAAATTTTGTGACTTTGTGGTGTTGATTTCGGTATATGTATGATATACTGAGCCCGGAATCCTTTGGCGATCCATTTTTCACTCAACATTTTGGTATCAAAGCTGTGGTGTGTGAACTTTGACGAGAAATCGATCAGAAACCGTTTGGGAAGACAGGTCAAAAATCTGTCCGATTTTTTTTTTCATTAAACCCGAACCTCCAATTCCATTTTTCGCCCAAACCAGTGGCCAATTGAAGAATCCAACACCACAGGAAGATTCTGCAGGCTGAGGCACAGCCGACATTGGTGTACATGGTAGTGGATGTCATCATCGACGGCAACGCGTGAAGATTTCGGCGAGGCATGTGGAGGCGCATGCAGGAGCTGTTTGGAATGTTTTCTTTGGACAAAATTATTTTAATGAGATTTTTAACGTTTTTGTGGTGTTAGTTTTCTGTTTCAAGTTATACAATAAAATTTGGACGATTTTGCCCATGTACGTATGTGATTCAATTTTGCATTCGATTGATTGCTACGGTTGTTGGAGATTTTAGGGCAAATAGTGGTGACCCTAAAGTGATAAATTTGCATCTCTCGTTATTTATGGACTCAGATAGGTCCTCTCTAGTAAATTGCCTTGTCATGTTTAATTTTCAGCACTAGTGCATTATCGTGTGGGGTGACAATATGATTGGGGTTACTGTGTGGAGTAACCATTGCATGTGCTAGAAATTAGGAACTACTTGCCTTTTAGTTGCTACGTGACTAAATTGTCCATTTGATAAATTTCAGCATATTATCTCCAGTGTTGTAAAATGCGTAATGCGTTGCGATGCATCGAGTCCGAAAATCAAGAATCGCAAGTTTAGGCGTGTCAATGCGAAGAATAAGCGTCATAATGCATTTCGTATTTTTAAGGCATTAAACATATTTTTATATAAAAAAAATAGATTTTTTACCACAAAAAATAAAAAAATAAAAATTAGGCAGCATAATGCGCGCACTAGGCGCGCCTGGGCGGGGGATTAGGCCCGCATTGCGCCATCTTTTAGATGGAAACGCATTTTCCTGCGTCGCAGAATTCGACTCGTTTTGGCCGCGCGTCGCGCCTAGGCGGCGCATTTTCGCGAGTTTTAGAACACTGATTATCTCTGTGATATATTGTGCGTGAAAGTGTTTGGTTGACATATGTCTTGTTACACCGTCAAGTTACTAGATACTTAGACTTCACCTGTTTGAGTCTACTTTGTGTGGCTTAATTGTGATTTTGTATTTTTGATTGATTATTAAAAAATGACTACTCACAATTTTGATTTGGGAACTTTTAATGAAAAATGTGATTTTTCAATCTAGCAAAAAAAAAAAAAATGGTATTTTGGTTCAACAAAAGGTTTCAAAAGTCATAGATGACAATTTTTCTACTGATTTTTCAAAAGAACCAAAAGAAGAAACCGATGAGCTTGCTTATACTTCAATTATTTTACACCTATCTGACATCGTTTTGAAAAAAGTGGGTAAATTGAAAATCACTAAAGAATTTTGGAAAAAGTTGGAAGACTTGTATTTGCTCAAATCTACTCCGAACAAAATTTACTTGCTTGAGCCTTTTTTCAACTTTAAAATAAATTCTTTAAAAGATCTTGATGACAATTTAGTGTGTGTTTGGTAGGGATTTTGGGGGAAGAATTGATTTTTGAATAGTGATATGATGGGAAATGTGTGGTTGAAAAAGAAGAAAAAGTTATTGATGTGATGGAAAGTATTATTTTATTGAAGAATGTGTGGTTGAAAATGAGAATTGATTTGAGAATTGATTTTGAAAATCACAACCAAACAGGCTCTTAGACGTATTTAACAAACTTATTCAAGATATTGTTAACGGTGAAGAGTTGGTATCTGACACCTATAAGACTATTATCTTGCTGAACACCATACATGATACTTATAAAGAAGTTAAGAATGCTACTAATTATGGTAGGGACAATTTGCTATCTGAAATTGTAATTGACTCCCTTATAAGTAAATAGATGGAGATTAAAGCCGAAAAATATGATAAGAAAAGCGGTGAGATTCACATAATGAGGGGTAGAACTCAACTTAAGCAAAACATTCATGATGGTTACTAGAGTAGTGGCGAATCAAGTAGTAATGGAGGTAAAAAGAAGGGCAAAGGTAGGTCTAGATCCAAATCTAGGACCAAGGTTAAGAAATATCATGGCTGTGAGAACACATGTCATTTTATAAATGATTGCTATAAAGAGAAAGGTAAGCTAAAAGGGTAAGGAGAAAGATGAAGTAAATGTATTGTCTTTTATTTTCAATAACGGTGATGGTGAGGTTTATATGATTACAAGTTTTATTGCTTATCCTATTGAATTGAATTTTAACTGTCAATTCTTATTTGCATGAGTGCATACTTGATTCTGGTGCATCTTTTCATGTGACATCACAAAAGGAATGATTTGAAAATTTGCATGAATCAAAGGATAGACATGTTGTGCTGTGTGACAATTCTGCTTATACTGTTGTTGGAATTAGTGATATTACCTTAAAATTTAACACTGATTTTGTGTATACTTTAAAAGATGTTAGATACATCCTTGAATTGTCTAGAAATTTAATTTTAATAGGAAGACTTGAGAAAAATGACTTCACCGGTAAAATTGGAAATGAAATTTTAAAATTGGTTAAATGTGCAATTATCTTTGTTAAGGGAATCACGAAAATTATATTTATATCACTATTGGGGAAGTGATAAAATGTTTATATTCCTCTATATTTTCTGCTAAGGCCAATCACACACATAAATGGCACAATAGACCAATGATAAGAGGTTAAGATTTATTTATCTCTTTTGGTAGAAGTTTGTTAGGAACATTATTGTCAAACGACCACTCGGGCTATAATGTTAAGTCATTGTTTATTTAGTCGGTATCGACCAATGATTGAAGTAAAATATGGACACTACAGATGTAATGACCTAAACATATAATATATTTGAACCATTTGAAGTAGCCTAATTTAATTAGAGTTACTCATGGCGCGCCCTATTATTTCTTGGTTGACTTTGGTATTTGGCCCACTTATTAGTTACCAATTATTTTTGGGTCCAATCACTATTTACCCTAAAAAGCCTACCTATACTATATATTGATTGTTTTAGCTGTTTTGTGTTCTGAGGCTTCCTTTCTTGAGAGATATAGGTTGCGTCTTTTGCTTTGTGCTCTCCTTTGTAGTGTGTTCTCGTCTCTCCTTTTCCTTAGCCTTTGTGTGACTACAATAACCCCTTGCTTATGTCCTTAGTGGGCAAGCCAAATCGCAACTGATTTTGGGAGTGAGTTGTGGTTTGAGTTTTGTGACTTCGTGGTGATCCATTTTTCACTCAACAATTATAATTTTCATATATTTTTATTTAAATTTAAATTGAATAATTCAGTCATTGTGAATCATGTGTATGAGTATTCTCAAGGAAAATTCAGTAATAAAATTCAAAAAAAAATTTTTTTTTTTTTTTTAAATAATTTCGTATTTTCGGTTAAAGGGATTATAATCCCTGCAAAATCACTTGGCACAGTTGTTTTTATTCAATCTCAAAAGTACAACCCTTGCTGTTTATTTTATGTTTATATCAACAAACATAGGGTCTCAAAATGTACATATTCTAGTCATGAATACAAAACTTCAACTACTCCTGTCGTACTAGAATTATGTGGGCGAAGATATCACATTTTTAATTTTTTTTATTTGTACGTGCAGAGAGCGAGACGCACAGCATACGAAAATTAATTTTATAGGTAGGTTGTAAAAAAATTATTGCATGATTTAAATCAAACTAACACCTTGATTCAAAACAATTTTACACTAAAAACACTCTGAATGGTAAAGATGTATGAAGAGATATTAACGAGTTCACAAAGAGCATGAAGATTTTCACGAGAAAAAAATGCAAAATTCTCTTTATTTTTTCATGAATCTCGACGTGCTAATGTGATATTTGATAATTTTATAAGACTACCATTAGAGACATGTCATATTTCTTCTTTTAAAACTCTAAATTTAGTCTTACTTTTAATAAATTTAAGTTTCACCAAGCATATCCCTTTGTTGCTGTATTCATAATGCCACCTATTAGAGCACCAAAGCAACAAAGTTGAGATAAAACTGCATTATTGGTCCTCACACTATTAATTAGAATAGCAATATAGCTCACAATCTTTGAAGGAAGCGACTCAATATCAATTTGTCATCATAGTTGCATAATCAGTTTTCGTTAATGTGAAACCTTTCAAATATCTGCTAAATCGTTATGTGGCCTATGCAAGTCTAGCTATCTGAAATTACGTTTATCTGCAAACTTATGATGCTTTCATGTTTAGAAATTTAATGTGATGCACATTTCTATTGGGTTGTGACAATTCTATAAAATTGGACAATCTGTCATTTGAGATTAATTTCTCGACTACAATACAAGATTACAGATCAAAAAGGTTGAGAATCAGTTTGCTACCAAACTAATAGATAAAGAATGAACAATGCAATTTTTCTAAAAAGTGAAATATTTATTATGGGGTTACGGGGGGATTTGATTGAAAATTTTTTGTTAAATAGCCTCCACTTAATGTTAAAAATTCTAAAGACCTATAATCCTAATTACCCTTTGAGCAAATTACACAAAATCAGATTTTTAAAGATTCAATTTCAAAAATCGGATTAAAGGTTTAACTTTTCAAAAATCAGACATTTTATTTTAAATATTAAATATTAATTGTACAATTTTAATTCTAAACCCTAATCAATTTCATTTTAATTTTCCTCCTTTTTTTTCTCTCTTCTCACTATCTCTACCTTCTCTCATCTCCGTCACTCTCTCTTCTCCACTCTCCGATCTTCTCGCTCTTCGTCGACAGTCAGCCTCAACGAGACGGTGCAGCCTCATCCGGCAACGTTGTGCGCAAACATGAAGTAGCGAAGCTTATTCGTGCGAATCGCCACTACATTTTTTTTATTTCTAAGTTTTTTGCAATTTTTGCAGGGGAGTCGTGATTTTGTGGTGGTTGATGGACGTTGTGGAGTCGAATCGCTATTGCGATAGCAGTGACGGTAGGGGTGATGGTAGGCTATATTGACCTATAATTTAATATAACTCCACTTGTTTTGATTATAACAAACAATACACTTATGTCTCTAACAAATTTTGTTTCTTGAGTTTTTTCATGAATATATCTTCTTAAGCATTCAAAAACTCAAATCGTCATCCTTGAAGAACAAGCAATCAAATGAGACTCGAATATAACAAGAACTTTGAAAATTAAAGCTTAGAAGTAGTTTATCGAAACTTAAATATAAAGGTATTAATTCATCGATTCTTAGCAAGTGCATAAAGCTCAAATTATTTTCATAATCTATCATTTGCATAAAAATATTTTGCATTCATAATATGAAATAGATTTTGAAAAAGCAATTAAAAAAAAGATCAAACATTCGGTCAACCGAAAGTCAACTTTCGGTCAAGTGAAAGGGCATAAATGATTAACCGAAATTCCAACGATTTGATTTCCCAACGGCTATATTGACACTTTCGGTCAACCGAAATTGATCAATCGAAAGTGACTGGTTGGGCGTCCTTTACTCTATAAATATCCATCTCTTATTGCATTCAATTGAGACCAAAAAATAAAAATAAAAACAACTTACAAGAGATATTTATAGAGTTTGTTTATTGAAAATCATTGAGTTTACTTGATTCTACATTCTACTTCATTTATTACAAAGAGTATCTTGATCTATCAAACTTATTTCATCTAATTTATCAAGAACTCTATTTTGCAAAGAACTTTTCACAATCTCATCTATTCTCCATCCTTGATAGAAGTTTTTCTTTGCCAACACTTTAATTTAAGTGTAAATCTCTCTTTATACTTAACTTACATTATTTGTTAAGAGAGATTATTGGTTTGAAAACTTTGATACAAAAATACGAACTAATTTCATTATCAATTATTCATCAAAATTTTCATCATAAACACTTGAGATTTATTATTTGCTATCTATTGAAGTGATATCCTAACTCTCTAAATACTTGACTTGATTATATCATTTGTTAAGAGAGTTCTTTCAATTATAAAACTATCATTTATACTTTATTGGTTTCGAGAGCCTTGTGAAAACTCGATTGTTGTTAAATATAGGTGCTCATTGTTATAAGTCACCAAAAGATAGGTGCTACTTGTTGTAAGTTATCTAAAGATAAGTGCTCCTTGTTGTAAGTTATTTAAGGATCAGTACTCATTGTTTGTAAGTTACCATTATAGTGCATTTAACCTTACTCGTGACGGAGAGTTTGGTAGCGGGGACGTAGAATACATTGTGTATTGAACCCCATTAAATTGGTTTGTTGTCTTTATATTATTACACTTTACTTTACATTGCCATTTATATTGTGTTATATCCATACTTGAATTAAGTTATCGAACTTGCATATTTAGTTCTAGTATAATACTTTGCATTTATATCTTGTGTATTGTATTGTTTTGAGACTAAGTGTCGAAAAAGTTTCAAAAATCAATTCACCCCTCTCTTGGTCAGTTATTCTTGGGTTAACAGGCTATGCGCTGCTTCGTGATTTGGGGATGGTTTTTGTTGGTGGCAACGGTGGTGGATTTGGTCGTGGTGATGGTTTTGTTGGATAGACGGTGGATTTGATGGGGTTTGTTGGTTTTGGTAGTGGCGGTAGTGGTGGATCCAGCGGTTAGTAGTGATTTGTTAGTGGTTGTGGTGGGGAGTCGTGGTGGTGGTTTTGAAGTTGAACGTTGTAGTTTATTGGAGGTTGTGGCGGCGGAGACAGTGAAATGGTGATGCTGCTTTCGGTTGGTGCCATGGTGTATTGTGGTTGGGTGGTGTAGATGGTGGCAGTGTTGGTGGTGGTCGACGATGGCGATGTAGATGGCAGTATGTTTGGGGATTTTTTTTTTGGTTGTGGGATGTGAGGGGGGTTGGTGGTGGAGGTTCTATGTTTTTTAGTGGTGAGAGGTGTTGTGGTTGTGGTTGGTGGTGGTGGTGGTCTTGGTGATGTTGGTATTTTTAGATGACAGTTTACTATCAGGAATTGGTGGTGGTGGTGGTGGTTTCGACTACGAGGTTTCGGTTGACATGCTATTGGTGGCATTCGTGAGGTGGTAGTCACGAGTATTTGGTGATGGTCACAGATTAAATTGATTAATTTGTGACAATTAAATTGATTGATTTGTGATCCATAAACAATATTCGATCAATGAAAAAGATAAATTATGACAAAAAATAACGTGTGACCACAAAAATTGTTAATTTGTGACCGATAATTTGATAAGTTGTGACTGTCTAATAAGCTGTGACATTTAATATTTGTGATTTGTGACCTATAAATAAATTGTGACATTCAATTTTTGATTTGTGATCGATGAACAAATTGTGATCTATAAATTTTTTGAATTGTGATGTTAAAATAGTTTGTGATATATAAAATTTGTGATTTGTGACCAATGAATAATATGTAACTTATTAATTTTATAAATTTGTGACCCATGAAAAAGTTGTGATCTATAAAATTTTCAATTTGTGAATGTGAAATAATTTGTGACTTATAAAATTTTTTAATACGACTGAGAAATAATTTGTGATCATCCCATTATGGGAGTAAGAATAGAGTTTTGAATAGTATTTTTTGGGGAATGTGTGGTTAAAATTTAAAAAAAAACTCTATTGGTTTGTATGTAAAATATTTTATTGTGTGATGTGTGGTGGAGAAAATGATACTGTATCAAATAATTTAATTTTTAAAGGATGACAAACACACCCTTAATGTTAGCTTATTTTTTAAAAAACATATTACTTTTTGTCTAAATATAATAGGCACATGACAAAAATGACACTACTATTTTAATTGGGTAAGTATCAATTTATACACGGTTTCAATTTCATTCCAAACACTCTCGCTTGTCTTTGTAAAAAAAAATACTTAAAAAGATGGCGATGATGAGTGGAAGTTGTGGCATAAGATGTTGGCTTATTGGTAAGTCTTCAAGTGCTCTCCTCTCCATTTTCAGGCTGAGAACGATAATTTGGTTTGTCTTGTCATATTTCGTTTGAGAATATTTTGCAAAGTTAATTTTTTAAATTAAAAAATTTAGTTTATTTATAATATTATGGTCAAATTGGTATTTTCATAAACTCACTTTGTAAAGAGTCTAGCTACCTCACCTAATTCTCACTTGGGTTTTCGCCTTCCTCACGCTAAATAAAATCTAACTGTGTTTCTAGAGCAGGTGAGAAATCAACAGAGTTTTCATTTGTTGAGGCAGCCAAAAGGCCATGAAGCCACATGCTGTAGTAATCCCATTCCCTGCACACGGCCACATAGCCCCAGTGCTAAAATTGGCCAAACTTCTTCACTACATAGGATTCTTCATCACCTTCGTCAACAAAGAGTTCAATCACGATCGCCTTGGGCCCGGACGCACTTAAGGGCCTCAAAATGCCATTGTATTCAATTGTTAGGGACAGACCTAATGGAAAAGGGTATGTGGATGCTAATTTTATTGAGCATGCTTTAAGTGGAGTAGAATATAATGTGTACAATCTAGCAAGTGGTCTTCTCTAAAAACATTTGTGCTTGATTCTACTTTGGGGTGCGTTACATCCCATTTTGATTAATTTAAAATCATTATGATTTTTTTTGGAATTTGAAGTAGTTCTGAAGAGTAGTGCTTGGATTCATTGGAAGAGGTGAAGTATTGTATTTTGTTGGAGAAATTAATTTTTTGCCAGAAGTCGAAGTCGAAGGAAGAGCCCTCTTGGTGGAGTGGTGTAATCAAGAACAAGTTTTGGCCCATCCTTCCGTTGGAGGGTTCTTGACACATTCTGGATGGAATTCAGCTATGGAGTGTATATCGGAAGGGGTGCTGATGATTTGCTGGCCGTTTTTCGTTGAACAACAAACGAATTGTCGATATGCATTCACCAAGTGGGAGATCGGGTTAGAAATTGGGGGAGACGTGACAAGAGAAAAAGTGGCAAAATTGGTGAAAATTTTGATGGAGGGAGAGAAAGGAAAGGAAATGGGGAAAAAGGCCTTGGAATGGAAAGAGAAGGCTCGATTGGCAGTTAAGCCTGGTGGCTCCTTACCAGAATTTGGAGTATTTGATTAATGAGATTCTTCTTAAGAATTAGTTGTTTGATTTCATGTTTTTTATGTTTCCAACTTTTGTATCCAATAATAAGTACTACTTTCTGTACCCAAGGCATGATCTCTTTTCCAGTTTATGTTTTATATTTTGGAAATTGTAACTCAAGTTACACGTTTGATCAGATAAAATTAGACATAGTTAGATGTAATAATAGCTAGATTAAACATTATTTTTATTTCTCATTCATTTATTACTCCATAAATTAACATGAGTCTCTTACTGTATTATATACATGCTTTTTTTACTTTTATTTTTTACACAAAATTATATATTTTCATTAGTTATATTTATAGATTATTCTCTTCTAC